CCCCGCTTAGCCTATCCAAAATGTCTTCAAACTTCGGGATTGGATATTTCTCATCTACCGTATTTTCATTCAATTTGCGGTAACCGATCACGACTCGGTATTTCTCCTTATTCTCTCCCGGTGCGCTTTTCTTCTTCACTGCCCATAGCGGACTTTTGTAAGGCGACGTGCTATCCACAATTATGCCCTGGTTCTTTAAACTCTGCAACTCCTCCCTAATGTGTTGACGAAGCGCCTGCGTATATCTCCTCTCTTTCACGTAACTCACCCTCTCGTGCTTTAAAGGGATCTCGTGCACCGTTTTACCTGTCACCCCCAATTTATCCCCCTCCTTAAAGAAAACGTCTTCGAACTCCCTCCTCACTGTCACTCTCCAATCCTCGGCTCGACTTATAGCTCCTATACGCGCCCTATCGACCTCATACTTTACTGCTGCCCTGCCCGTGTAGTTCACGTTCCCTATTTTTATTCTCCAATCCTTTCTCCTATTCGAGAATCGCACGCCCACCTTTCCCAGCATGTCACAACCTATAATTGCCTGATATTCCCGGGGCATTTCTCCCACCACATGCACCGTAAGTTTACCTCCCTTGGCCGCCCATCCCCTCAATCATAGCTCCACTTCCCCTTCCACTCCACACAGGCCACCCAGGGTGATTAACTTACAACTACATACCTTGATTTGGAGTGTCCTCTCTCCCCCGTACAGCTTCTCCAACACTCAACGCGTCATAATGGTATTGGAGCTCCCGGTGTCTACCAGACACCTCACTCCTCTCGCTTCTATTATTGGTAACCAGCAGCTTTTCCCTCGAATGCTATAATTTACTAGCGTGTGGTCACCTCTCGCCTGACACTCTCCTCAGATCCTCTCCACTGCTGGCCGCCGTTTGCTTCTTCCACTGCCCTTCTCCGCTCCTCTCGTTTTTCCGGCTTACTGGGTCCTCTGGTTCTTCCTCGGTCTCGGTGGTTGCAGATTCTTCTGAAGCCTCTGTCGATGAGTCATTTTTCTTGGGCTGCACCCTTCTTCTCCTCAAACCTTGAGCATTCACCTCCATCGGCTCTGCTCGTTGCGAGTCTCTTCTCGAATAGATATACGGACACTGCCTCGCAATGTGTCCCTCCGTCCCGCACTCGAAGCATTTCGTGCGGGGACACTGTGCCACCAAGTGTCCGCTCTTCCCACAGCCGTGACATTTCTGTCTTCTTTCCGTTGGCTAGCCCTCGCTCTATTTTGCCCTGGTCTTCGCTCCGCTCCCATGTGCTTCTCTCTCCCGTTGTATGCGGACTCTCTCCTTCTCCAGGTCATCGGTGTACTCCTAGGCCTCCTATAGCCTATCCGATTCCAGCCTGGTTCCTCCACCTCTAGCCGGCACATTCATAGGAGCCGGCTGCCTCAGGTCAAATTCAGGCATCCTCGTAACAGTTTTTACTGACTGAGAAAAAAAAGTACCTCTTTCACCGTCCCGGGTTTCGGCACCAGTTAAGCGTAGCGGGCTTGAAACACTTAAAAAAAAGTACTAGGGCTAAGAAATAACACGCATGAAGACGAAATCAAGACTGGTTTATTTCTCCTTCTAATCCTCTATAAATACATTCTGAGATTGTTTACATCACTGCATTTGGTATTAAAGCTAATACTGTCCCGCTCCGTACCTTAACTTTTATATATATATATATATATATATATATATATATATATATATATATATATATATATATATATATATATATATATTGTAAATAATATTATACAAAATATAGTAATCAATATATTGTATTCAAGAGGAACATGTAGAGATCGAAAAATAACTGCTGTCACATTAGGTAAAATCAAACTTACTACCTCCTGATGAATACCATTTCATTTCCGTACCAATTTTTGGTTTATAATTTTTATTTCGTATTACGAGAGTAGGAGGTTACAAGAGCTCAATACTCTAACGAAGACCAGGATATAAATCTCTACTTTGGATCAGGAGAATATTAGATTACATGAGCTCAACACTTATATTATGAAGAATAATTTATATACATATTTACAGTAGTAACTATTTGCAATTTTATGAGGATTGGATAGATAAGAAATGATTAAACAGGCGGGATTTAAAGGTAGAAAGGGTTTTGGATTGATGGATGTGGAGAGGGATGGAGTTCCATAGGGATCAGGATCGGATAATGAGCGATCTGTCGAAAGCAGCGGTTCGGTGGGTCCTTAGGTATAAATCAGAAGACCGGGAACGAGCATTGCGGGAACTAACAGAGGATTTGAATTGAAGGAGCTTGGAGATGTATGAAGGACGGTTAGGGGTGGTTATCAATATTTCTTTAACTTTCGGGGGCGGCTTGGCCGAATGGGCTAAAGCGTGTGAACTGCACCGCGAGTTGCTAGGCAACCGGATAAGAGATTTGAGAAGATTTAAAAAAAAAGTATGAGTTCGCATCCCGGTGCCGGAGGGGATTTTAAATTCCCCGCCCTCACCCTCCGGCCCAGGAAAATCCTATATAGTATAGCCTAAAAGGCGAGGTAGGGAAGAACAAAAAAAAAAAAAATTCTTTAACTTTCAAGGTCTGGCCATTTTTTATTTCAATAACAATAGAACAGAACTAATTGAAATACAGTAACACGAGTTTCAACAAAATTTGAAACATTTTATAAATATTTTTGGAATCATACTATTGCACTTTATCATGAAGCAAATATGGAAATTGTGGTTATTCAACAAAGGGTAAATATTTAAATAATGTTGCATTATTATTTTTGTCTGACCTATCTAATAACAAGAGATATGTATTTAAATTGGAGCTAAACTATGATTGGAATTCCTACAAAATTTTAATAAATAATAGCTCTTAATATAGTAAAAACGACATAAAATAAATAAAATCTATTGGTATATCAGATAGAATAAAAAGAGAGTTTATAGGGAGCAAATAATTAATTATATTTAACCAAGTTTTCAATTTCGATAATTAAAAAGTCGTAACAGAATCGGGGGTGGTGGAAGAGGGGAAATCAAACTTTAATGAAACAAGGAATTATTAAAAACTCAGAGGTCCGAACTTGAAACTTCGAAATTGATTCAGCTCTGTAGTGAGAGTGTGAATGATAACGCAACGCTGAAGTTTTAAATCGTGGGTTTAACGGAAGGGGCCATTTCCCAATTATCTTATGTATGACGTGTGAGATTTGAACGCAAATATGGAACCGCAATTGGCAGTACCCGAGAGCTAATTGGGCAGCGGTAGTAGGGGGGATTGGATTCGGTTGTGACAGTTTTCATTTAATTGCCCATAACTTTGATAGTACACCAATTAGCTGATACAGATTTGATTTTTATAGTAAAATGTATTTATGTGTGTATTTATTTATGTATTTACTATACATAAATACCAGAACTGTGTCCGCAAATACAACGATTAACTCGGAGGAGCAAATTAAAAAAGTCACAATCGACCTTACCCCAGGTTCAAAATACATTAAATCACTTTTATTGTATTTTATAGCAAAATAAAGAAAACCTAGGAACATTTTAATATCGCTTATAATTAATAAAGATTAGGGCACAATGCTGCATATATGCTGTACCTTACACTTGCATATATGTGATCTCGTTTTTCCTTTCACACACCTATATATGAAATATATATATCAAGGAGATTTATTGCGAGGGATAGTGACGCAATTAAGAGGCATTAATTTAGTAGATTAAACAGGTGAAAGAACATATGAGTCATATAAATACATTTGTCATTTTCAGGAAGAGAAAAAATCAATTTTTGTAACATAACTTCTATTTAAACCAAATATAATTTGCTATCTCATATAATCAAATATACTGATTTTATTTCATGATTCAATTCTAATATTCTTAAATAAAATCATTAGAATCAGTGTGCGTTGAACCTATAAAATAAAAATTGAACAGATTCCATCTTCGGTATGAAGCTATTCATACGGTAATTAATTGTTTCAAATGAATATGCTGTACCGTCAACAATTTTTAATTTCAAAGGAAGGAAAAGGGTCGGGGTGGCGCTCATAAATAGGCCAAATAGTGGCAAAACTATTTTATTGAAAACCAACGTTTCGACCCGACTTTGCAGGTCATGTCTTCTTCAGGGCTAGAACGGTCAATATACAAAAAGATAAAGAATTGTGGAAGTTACATAATAGTTAGACAATGTGATTTATTAATATGGTGTTAGCAAAATTATAAACAATGTGAATAAGCGTATTAAAATTATAAACAGTAAGTACATTAAAATATAAACAGAGTAAGCTTAAGTAACATGATCCTAAACTGAAGTAAATAGATTATAACAATTGTTGTAGTTTAATATATGATATATGCAAATGTGGATATACTTCTACAGATCTACAGGAAAGCTTATCAACAACTTATAATTTTTTGGCTAACTATTATGTAACTTCCACAATCCTCTATCTTTTTGTATCTTGTCCGTTCTTGTCCTGAAGAAGACCTGCAAAGTCGGGTCGAAACGTTGGCTTTCAATAAAATAGTTTTGCCACTATTTATCCTATTTGTGAGTGCCACCCCGGACCATCTTCTTCCTTTATAATGCAACGTTCAACTATTAAATATTCAATTTTTTATTTCAATTTCCACAAATGATGATACCTATTTCTATTATATGATGTGCACACAGCGTCAGATTTTTTTCTGTCGTGACGATGCTTGAATTTAGGAACCGTTGACTGGTTAACTGTTCAACTGCATGTTATTATTATGATATGTGAACATCAGTATATATCAATAAACTTTTCTTAAATTTAGTAAAAAAAAAAAAAAAAAAAATTGTTTCGTTTATAATAACATATTTTTCAAACTGTAAAACAGTTTATATATTGTCACATGGCACATATTTTATGTTAGTTAGCATGTTATGAATGGGAATTGTGTTAGTTGATGACAGGTGCAGATAAGGTAGGTTATATGGTTGAAGTGCTCCAGAGGGTATTCCATTAATCAAGTTACCTCCTTGGCAATGAGCCGGCACAGACTAGAGATGGACACGTTGTTGTATGAGGATAGGAGGTCCTCCGCGGGGGTAGCTGAAGCCTGCCAACGTTTTAGCCTCTTTCGATGCCGTCTATTCTCGCAAAACCAGAAAGCTTCGCCTCGATTGATTGTTTCACTGTCAACAATTGAATTATAATTATGATTAGTCAAATTTCCTTTGCCGATGGGATTTGCTCTTTCTTTTTTATAAGATGGAGTACGTCCTTGCTATATGTGAGTACGCATGCGAAGAGTTTTCATAAAACATATTTGATAAACATAAAAAATAACCCGACTACAGAAATAACTACTGTTGTCCAAATGCGAGATCAAAACGAGTCTTGGTCTTGCACAAGATTTCCGTAACAATCTTGCAGTTAACTATTAGCCTATTACTATAGAGATATTACTGTAATTTTTCAGATAGAGGAATCAAACTAAACCTGAATGAAAAATTAAAAGAGTTAAATGCAAAAGTATATTAGCTATACCAATTCTTTACATACAGCAACTAAAATTGTCAAGTATTATTAACTATTTTGCCTTAATTTTTATTCACAAAAACTATTTATTCTATTATTTTTTTACCAGTCTTGGTTTTGCAACAGTCTGGCGGTCCACCGATTTATGGCAATATTAGTACAGAAGAAATGTACTTGAATATTGTCTGTTAAATTAAATTAAAAAATCACTAAACAAATTTTTGATAGAGCTGAAGTTTTGCTTGCATATTTTGACATCATTTGCCATTAAAATGCACAGTTAGTACAAAAGACTTCTAAATAGCAAATATCTTTATCTGCATCTATGTCACGGAGATATAATTCAAATTATTTAGAAACTATGAAACAAATTTTAATATCTGAAATTTATGAAAAATTTGCACCCTAAACAAACAAAAATATGTCACATGGTATCCTTTACGCCGGATTACAGATTTAGAAACAAATTTAATAGCTCAAATAGGTATGTTTGTATTTTTCATGTTTTTTTTTTAATTTATTTGTTTTTTATTTATTGTGTATACTTTTTGATTATTAATTACTGGTTATTGTGCTCCCGTTTATTTTATGTATATATATATATATATATATATATATATATATATATATATATATATATAATAAGGTGATGCCTCGATCTCGGGTAATATAATATCGTATTGGTTGATTTTTCAATTTGATTTTTCAATAGAGCAAGGCTGTGTGTTTGTTTCAGAGAGCTTTCCTTATTACTTTTCTTTAGAAGATAGGTTTGAAGTTTCGATTTATTCATCTGTAGCTGGTCATTTTCTTGTTTGAAACTATGACGACTTTATTTTTAATTATATAAAAAAATAGACCGACCCCAAAATCTGTGTGTGGTACAAAATAAGCTGTCAAAATTTTCTTTCAGTGGTTTTTCATGAATAATAAACTAATTGACTGTGTAGTAAAAACGAAATCGGTAAAAGACTAAATTTTTTGTCTAAATTAAACTCATTTGGAAAGATTCGCTGTTAGAATTTAAGTTGCGATTCACAATAATGTTAAAAAAATCTCTTAAAGCGTCTTATTACCAACACATTTACCTCAGTTAAGTTCTTATTTAAATATTTCCAGAATCGTTTTCAAAAGAGGCTAAACTGTGTTGGGAACAGGTCAACACATTGCCGCAAACTGATAAGCTATCAGTGGCGCGAGTGGAAGCCGACAGTCAGATGCAGTCGGTAGGTCGTCCGGTTCTTGATAAATCATTGGCAATCAGGTTCCGACTCAAGGAATGTCTTGTTCGTAACACTCGTTAGTTCTAATACAACATGTGATGGTACACTAAATAATGTAAGGTAGAAAAAAAAATTCAACATAATTTATATTAAATAAATAAATGATTTATATTTATAATCAAATAAAGATATACATTATTAAAAAAAAAATTAAATTACCAAGTTATTAGTGAATATAAATATTAAATATAGATAAATATTAAATCTTTCCTCTGACAAAAGTTAACATTGAGGAGGTTCCATAATATCCCAATTAAATTTATCTTATGATTTTAGACTCCTAAAATTAATATCCTAAGGCAACTTCAAACATTAGAAGCGTTATTAATTAACTTTTTGGATATTTGTTAACTAACCGTATCGTTTTAATCTCCTAATGGTAATTATCTTAATTAATTAAATTTAGGGAGAATAGTTCTCGACCATACCAGGTTTTCAAGCGATTCTTCATTTTCGGAATCGAATACTCGACATATTATATTAATAATAACCTAGAGGCGCAGTTCTTGTTTACATTAAAATAACTTAATTATGAAGGAAGTTGGCTTAACGAAATGCTTCAAGTTTATTTAGAATATTGAAATCCTGAAGAATTACTTATTCACCACAATTGAAGATATTTTTTTTTGTAAGAATAAAAAAAATAAATAAAACGAACTGTTTCGTTAAAATGTAACGAAACCAGAATAAAGAGGAAAAGAGTTAAATGGGGGAGAAAAATGAAAAATTATTAGTGTCAGTTAAACTTGTCTGTCAATATTTTTAGATTTAATTATATTTAGAAATATAAAAATAGAATAAAGTTAAGATAGTAGAACAATAAAATACTAAGAAATAATGTCTTTATACTATGAAATAAAATGGAAAAAAATTGTTGAGAGAGAGAGAGAATAAATGGATAAATAGAAATTAAGATAAATAGGATTTTTAATGAATCTAGAATGAATTCATCAATAAACTGAAATTTTTACCAAATGTTTATATCAATTAATTCAGGAAACATTTTATTACCGATGTCAATACAAGAAACGTTCATACCGACTATAAAATAACCAACAGTTGTGTGAATATTATCCTTTCTTATATCTCAATATTATGATAAATAAATATGATTAGTAGCTTCAACCATTTTATATACACTGGCTTCATATCAAAGACGGACATCTGCCATTTTTCAAAAGTCGAGAATAAAAGCCGAGTGTCTGCAACAAGGCTTCAATTTAAACCAATTATAATTTTTTTCACATTCAAGTTGAACATTCTAAAAAAGAAAAAAATAAATAATCAGAAACAGGTTGAGTTAAACTTATAAAACGAAAATTGTTTTTTTCTTTACTTTTTGAAAATGACAGGTGTCCGTTTTTGATATGAACTACTTAGCTATGCGCACATCATGTTAACTATAGTAGTGTGTTATTAAGTATTCATGCCTAAAACATACTATTTAAAACACCCGTATTGCCATGGTGGCATGGGAGGGTGGAATAAATAAATATATCCTCAAAACTGAGCTAAGGGAAATCACTGAAAATTCACACGTGACTCCTAATCAGATCTTGGCCAGAATAATTACCATCCACCTCACAAAATGCTAATTGTTATCGTTAATTAACTAACAATGTTGCGCTGGAATAGTATCCAATTTTCACTGGTATACTTACCTTCCTAAGTTAAAATCCTAACATAGGGTAATGAGGTAATGTTTCGGGTTTTATTAAGAATCCAGAATTTAATTATATTGATCAATATAAATGTTGGAGACTCGACTTTAATCAGACATGAAAAATTTAATTAACTGTTCATTTAAAATAATTGATGTATTTTTCGACAGACTACCATAAGATTTAGGTTGTGTAAAGAAAAAGGTTGCTGACATATTCAAAATTGATCTAAAAATTTTTTCAGAAAATATATTAAAACCCCAGACTTTCAGTCATATTGCTCTAGAAAATAATAGCACTTTTCTATTCTATCAAAAGTGAAGGTGTATTTAACATCCATTTCAGAGCCCCTAGGCACCATTATGTTATTTCAGGGATGTCTAATTTGTATACACGGTCGGTTTATTGCAAAAAGTCATTAAGTGACATTTCATAAAATTAAATAACTTTGATTTATAAAGAATTTTCCCTCTGTGAAATCGAAACAGTCTAATTTTAGTGTAACAATATTTATTTTATAAAAGGGTTCTTGTCATTATTGTACACTTATTAAAATTTTGACAAATGAGGTACAAAAATTCACAAAACAATACTAAAAAGTTTAACTCAATTAAAAATTTATTTAGTGACTTTTAGGAATCGATATGTAGTTTTTCAGGGAAGTAAGTGACAAGTTTGTTTAAAGGAAGGTCTTTTTTGGATAAATAAACATACCTCCTATTATGCCTGTTGACCTTGAACAGCCATAAGATATTTTTACCGAATTTTCGCAAACTTTGAACCCGTTTGAACCGGAGGAGGAAGGGTAAAGAATACTGCCAAACTGAGTTCGATAGAACCGGTTCTGGAGCTATGGGTAGATATCTGAAGTCTTTGTTACTAGCAAGGTCAAGTTGGGTGATATTTTCGAGGTGAAATTTCGAAATTATAAAAGGATTTTCATTTGAAGGGTGGAGGAGTATGTTATCGATAGATATATTATTGGGATAAACAAATTCATTTTTATTTATATAATTTGAAAGAATTTCCCTCTTGATAAGAAAAAAGAAATGCGCGAATTAATCGAAAGGAATATATTAATTTTTAATTACAATAAAGTTGAAAATTAAAGTGAAATGCTTAATAGTTTAAAAAGAATCGTTAAAGTGAAACAACTATAATTTTTTTAATAAAGTTTTGTTAATGAAAATTACAATTAACTTAAGAAATTATTTTTCTATTTTTTTTTATTGCAACATATTACAATCTGTCTCTAAAGATATAATAGTGTTCAGAGATCACATTCACACTCTATGTACAATAAATAAAATAAATTACACAGAAAAATAATATATATACAATAAATAAGAATAAAATAACCTAAAAATAAATAAATAAAAAGAAAGCATACATACCTATATACACTAAGAAACCATTAAAAATAAACTTTTTATCAGTAAAATTATTAATATAAATTAAAATTAATATTTTATGCTGACACATTGCTAATCACTTAATATAATGAGAGATGAGAAATTGTGAAATACATTTATTATTTATATTATTATTTATTAACTTACTAAGCCTGTAAATGACTAAACCTAAAGGAGGTAAATAATGCAAATACCTTTCTATATACAAATAACATTCTTGTTCTATTTAAATTGAATTGGGTTTAAATTGAAACCATAAGATTGACGTCAAAATGTACGAATCCTGGATGACAAATTT